TGTATCTGTGTGTATATGTATGTGTCTGGTGTTTGTGTGTGCCCGTGTGTGTCTATTTGTGTCTGTTTGTGTATGTATGTGTGTCTGTGTGTGTCTGTATCTGTGTGTCTGTATGTGTGTCTGTGTGTGTCTGTGTGTCTGTGTGTCTCTGTGTGTATGTATGTGTCTGTGTGTGTCTGTATGTGTGTCCGTGTCCGTGTGTGTGTGTGTCCCCACCCAGGCCATTCCCAGGGTAGAGTCTGGTCCCTGCTCAGCTGCGTCCCCTGGTCCGAGCGTCCCTGGGCTCTCTGGGGTGGGGGTCACAGCCTCTGCTTTCCTCTGAGGGTGCAGCGCCGCGGCCGGGGAGCCCTCCAGGCTGGCACGAAGACCCCCGCGAGCCGGCGTGCGAACTTGAGCAGAGCCGTGCCCAGCTCCCGTGAGTGGACGGGGGCCCCGCGGGCAGCCCGGAACTGACTGCGGAAGCCGATGTCCACCCAAGCGGCCCCACGGCCACCCTCGTGGGAGTCCGGGGTCCCTGGGGCCCACCCGGGGCGGGGGTCAGTGGGCGTGGCCCCCCGGAGAGACCCCCCCCAGCCCTGTCCCATCCCTGGGTTTCAGGTGGCAGGGACCGGGTCCCGGGTCCGGGCGACATCGCGTCTGGAACGGACCTGCTCGCCGACAGTCTGCGGCCGGGGACCCCGGGGACGGAGGTGAGCCCAGGGACAGCCTGGGGACAGGGAAGCCCAGTGGTCGCACCTGCCCCCTTTAGGGGGGCTTTTTTGGCCACTCTCAGCCCTGCACTCAGGAACTGTGTCAGGGATGGAATCTCCCTCCTGCTGTGCTGCCTCAGGCCCCTTCACAAGCTGCCCGCCCGCCCTCCATCCCTCCCTCCCTCCCTCCCTCCCCCTCCCACCCTCCCTCCTTCCTTCCATCTTCCTTCCTTCCTTCCTTCCTTCCTTCTCCTTCCTTCCTTCTCCTTCCTTCCTTCCTTCCTTCCTTCCTTCCTTCCTTCCTTCCTTCTCCTTCCTTCCTTCCTTCCTTCCTTCCTTCCTTCCTTCCATCCTTCCAACCTCCAACATCCTACACCTTCCTTCCACCCTCCAACCTTCCAACCAACTCCTTCCTTCCTTCCTTCCTTCCTTCCTTCCTTCCTTCCTTCCTTCCTTCCCTTCCAACCACCCACCAACCAACCAACCCAACCCAACCAACCAACCACCAACCTCCAACCATCCAACACCAACCAACCCAACCAACAACCAACCAACCAAAAACCAACCAACCAACCAACAAAACAACAACCAACAACCAACCAACAACAACCAACCAACCAACCAACCAACCAACCAACAACCAACCAACCAACCAACCAACCAACCAACCAACCAACAACCAACCAACCAACCAACAACCAACAACCAACCACCAACACCAACCAACCAACACAACAACCAACAACCAACAACCAACCAACCAACCAACCAACCAACCACCAACCTTCCAACCAACAACCAACCACACCAAACACAACCTTCCAACAACAACAACCAACCAACCTTCCAACCTTCCTTCCAACCAACCAACCAACACCAACCAACCAAACAACCAACCAACCAACAAAACCAACCCACCAACCAACCAACACAACCAACCAACAACCAACCAACAACACCAACCAACCAACCAACCAACAACCAACAACCAACAACCAACCAACCAACCAACCAACCAACCAACCAACCAACCAACCAACCAACCAACAACCAACCAACCAACCAACCACACAACCAACCAACCAACCAACAACCAACCAACCAAAACAACCAACCAACCAAAACACACAACCCCAACCAACCACCAACCAACAACCAACCAACCAACCAACCAACCAACAACCAACCACCAACAACCAAAACACACCAACCAACAAACACACAACAAACCAACCAACCAACCAACCCAACAACCAAACAACCCAACCAACAACCAACCAACCAACCAACACCAACCAACCAACCAACCAACAACCACCAACAACCAACACAACAACCAAAACCAACCAACCAACCAACACCAACAACCAACCCAACAACCAACCAACCAACCAAACAACAACAACCAACAACCAACCAACCAACCAACCAACCAACAACCAACCAACACCAACAACCAACACAACCAACACAACAACCAACACCAACAACCAACCAACACAACCAACCAACAACACCAACCAACCAACCAACCAACCAACACCAACCACAACCAACCACCAACCAACCAACAACCAACCAACCAACCAACACCAACCAACCAACAACCACCAACCAACCAACCAACCAACAACCAACCAACCAACACCAACCAACAACCAACCAACCAACCAACAACCAACCAACCAACCAACCAACCAACCAACCAACCAACACCAACCAACCAACAACAACCAACACCAACCAACCAACACCAACCAACCAACCACCAACCAACCAACCAACACAACCAACCAACCAACCAACAACACCAACCAACCAACCAACCAACCAACCAACCAACAACCAACCAACCAACCAACACCAACACCTTCCAACCTTCCACCTCCTTCCAACCTTCCATCCTTCCTTCCAACCTTCCATCCTTCCAACCTCCAACCAACCTCTCCAACCTACCTTCCAACCACCAACCAACCTCCTTCCAACCTTCCAACCTTCCTTCCTTCTCCTTCCATCCTTCCTTCCAACCTTCCTTCCTTCCTTCCTTCCTTCCTCCTTCCTTCCATCCTTCCATCCATCCATACCAACCATCCTTCCATCCTACCTTCACTCACCTTCCTTCCTTCCTTCCCTCCTTCCTTCCTACCTTCCTTCCTTCCTTCCTTCCTCCCTTCCTTCCCCCTCCCACCCTCCCTCCCTCCCTCCATCCTCCCTCCATCCTTCCTTCTTCCTCCTCCTTCCTTCCTTCCTTCCTTCCTTCCTTCCTTCCTTCTCCATCCTTCTCCTTCCTTCCTCCTTCCTACCTTCCTTCCTTCCTTCCTTCTCTCCTTCCTTCCTTCCTTCCTTCCTTCCATCCTTCCTTCCTTCCTTCCTTCTCCTTCCTTCCTTCCTTCCTTCCTTCCTTCCCTCCTTCCTTCCCTCCTCCTCTTCCTCCGTCCCTCCTTCCCTTCCTTCCTTCTTCCTTCCTTCCTTCCTTCCTTCCTTCCTTCCTTCCTTCCTTCCTTCTTTCCTCCTTCTCCTTCCTTCCTTCCTTCCTTCCTTCCTTCCTTCCTTCCTTCCTTTTCTCTCCTTCCTTCCTTCCTTCCTTCCTTCCTTCCTTCCTTCTCCTTCCTTCCTTCCTTCCTTCCTTCCTTCCTTCCTTCCTTCCTTCCTTCCTTCCTTCCTTCCTTTCTCCTTCCTTCTCCTTCCTTCCTTCCTTCCTTCCTTCCTTCCTTCCTTCCTTTCTCCTTCCTTCCTTCTCCTTCCTTCCTTCCTTCCTTCCTTCCTTCCTTCCTTTCTCCTTCCTTCTCCTTCCTTCCTTCCTTCCTTCCTTCCTTCCTTCCTTCCTTCCTTCCTTCTCCTTCCTTCCTTCTCCTTCCTTCCTTCCTTCCTTCCTTCTCCTTCCTTCCTTCTCCTTCCTTCCTTCCTTCCTTCCTTCCTTCCTTCCTTCCTTCTCCTTCCTTCCTTCCTTCCTTCCTTCCTTCCTTCCTTCCTTCCTTCCTTTCTTCCTTCCTTCCTTCTCCTTCCTTCCTCCTTCCTTCCTTCCTTCCTTCCTTCCTTCCTTCCTTCCTTCTCCTTCCTTCCTTCCTTCCTCCTTCCTTCCTTCCTTCCTTCTCCTTCCTTCCTTCTCCTTCCTTCCTTCCTTCCTTCCTTCCTTCCTTCCTTCCTTCCTTCCTTCCTTCTCCTTCCTTCCTTCTCCTTCCTTCCTTCCTTCCTTCCTTCCTTCCTTCTCCTTCCTTCCTTCTCCTTCCTTCCTTCCTTCCTTCCTTCCTTCCTTCCTTCCTTCCTTCCTTCCTTCTCCTTCCTTCCTTCTCATTCCTTCCTTCCTTCCTTCCTTCCTTCCTTCCTTCCCTCCTTCCTTCCCTCCTCCCTCCTCCCTCCCTCCTACCTCCTTCCTTCCTTCCTTCCTTCCTTCCTTCCTTCCTTCCTTCCCTTCCTTCCTTCCTTCCTTCCTTCCCTCCTTCCCTCCCTCCCTCCCTGTGCTTTGATCACCCACGGCGGGGGGTGGGGGGTAGGGAGTCCTGTTGCCCCCTGGGCGGGTGCCCGGCCGGTGCCCTCCCCTGTGCCCTCGCTGGCTCCACAGACTCCCCCTGTCTCGTGGGCGCAGGGCTGCGGTGGGAGGTGTTGCCTGCGTGTTGCCCATCCCGCCTCCCCCGGCTCCACCCCTGCGGGCTCAGAGGGTCGCGTCGGGGGTCGTGGCTTCAGCGTCTCCCCACGTGACCCTCAGCCCGTTCTGCCCGGCGAGTGCGACCCCCTGACGCCGCAGGAATGGGGGTCCCACCCCAGCGCCCACGATCCCCTCCAGGACGCAGACCCAGGTGAGCAATGCTGTGAGGAGGGATGGTGTGTCTGACCCCGCTTCCGGCTCCTTCTTGGGGACCACAGCTCGCGGTCCCCAGGGGCGACTCCCGGTTTGGTGCTCAGGAGGACTCTCCCCACAGTGCTCCTGCTGCCGTCGGCAAGTGCCAGGGATTGAACCAGGGCTGCCTGTGTGCCAAGCCTTTGGGCGTCTCTGACCCCGAGAGGGGCAGTTTGGGGGCACCATGACCCCCCCCAAACCCAGCCCCCCTCGTTATTGCCAGGGGCGGAGACCCTTGCAAATAGCAGCAAAGATCAGCACCAACCAGACGGCCAAGGGCCGCGGCTCCCAGCACCCCCTCACGCGGCTCTAGCCGGACCCACGGACCAGCTCAGCCGCGGCTCTGCGGGGGCCGCCAGACCCTGGCTTCACCTGGAAGTTTTTTTTCTTTTTGGGTCCCACCCGGCGATGCTCAGGGCTGACTCCTGGCTCTGCACTCAGGGATCACTCCTGGCAGTGCTCGGGGGACCCTCTGGGATGCCGGGGATCGAACCCGGGTCGGCCGCGTGCAAGGCCAACGCCCTCCCCGCTGTGCTAATTGCTCCAGCCCCATCTGGGGTCGTTTGTTTCGGGTTTTGGGGTCACACCCGGTGGTGCTCAGGAATCACTCCTGGCTCTGCGCGCAGGGGCCGTCTGGGGTGCCGGGGATCGAACCCTGGTCAGCCTCGTGTGCGGGAAGCACCCGGCCCCTGTCCCATCCTCAGCCTTCCAGACTGACCCGGTCCCGGTCAGAAATCCAACAGAAATGCTGCCGGGATGTATTTCTCGAATTTTCTTTTGTTTTCTGGTGTGTGTGTGTGTGTGTGTGAGAGAGAGAGAGAGAGAATGTGTTTATGAGAATGTGTGTTTGTGTGTGAGTATGAGTGTGTGTGTGTTTGGGAGTGTGTGAGTGAATGTGTGTGTATCTGAGTGTGAGTGTGCGAGTGTGTTTTTGAAAGTGTGTGTGTTTGTGAGTGTGAGTATAGTGTGTGTGTTTTCGGGTGTGAGTGTGTGTTGGTGAGAGGTGAGTTGTGTGTTTATGTGTGTCTTTGTGTGTCTGTGTGTTGAGAGTGTGAGTTGTGTGTCTGTGTGTTTGTGTGAGTGTGTCGTTGAGAGTGTGAGTTGTGTGTGTTTCTGAGTGTGTGTTTGTGCGTGTATATTGGTGAGTGTGTGGGTGTGTGTTTGTGTGTTTGAGTTGTGTATATCTATTGGTGAGAGAGTGTGAGTTTTGTGTGTATCTGTGTGTATATTGGTGAGAGTGTGTGTGAGTTGTCTGTGTGTGTGAGAGTCGGTGTGTATGTGTGATTTTTTGTGTATATGTGTGTTGGTGACAGTGTGTGAGTTTTGTGTTTTTGTTTGTGTCTGTGAGTGTGTGTGTTTGTGTGTCTGAGTGTTTGTGTATGTCTGTTGGTGAGAGAGTGTGAGTTTTGTGTGTATCTGTGTGTATATTGGTGAGAGTGTGTGTGTGAGTATGTGTCAGAGTGTGTGTGTTTGTGTGTGTATATTGGTGAGTGTGTTTGTGTGTCTGAGTATTTGTGTGTCTGTTGGTGAGAGAGTGTTAGCTTTGCGTGAGTTGTGTGTTTGTGTGTGTGTGAGTCTGTGTGTACGTGTGTTTGTGTGTGTTGGTGACCGTGTGTGAGTTCTGTGTTTGTTTGTGTCTGTGTTTGTGTGTGTCTGTGTGTGTCTGTGTGTGCGTGTGGCTCAGACCCTCCCGTCGTTTGAAGCGTGGGGGTCACTCTGGGGGTGCTGGGGGGACCCCGGGGTGGGCAGGGTGGGGGGTGCCGTATTTCCCCGAGAAGCAGGGCCGGGGCCTGAGCAGGGCGTGTCTCCGCGCAGGGCCCCGGGACCCCGTGAAGTTCTCGGCCCCGCACGTGCCGGTGGGCTTCGGGCCTGGGGGCCTGTTGGTGCTGGCGGTGCCCCGGGGCGGCCGCCCGGAGCTGGTGGAGCTGCACAGCATGGAGGTAAGACCGGGCGCACCCGGGCCACCCACCCGCCCTCCTGCCACCAGGCCGGGCTGCGCTGCGGGACCGTTGCACACATGCTCATTGCCGAGCCTGTGGGGCCTCGACTTTCCCGAGTTGCTATTGGCCCATTTCAGCAGCTGCGGGCAGGGAAGCCCCCAGGGACCCTCCTGGCTGTGCTCAGCCCATCAGCCTGGCTGTTTAGATCAAGGGCTCCAACCTGTGCTACTGCCGGGGGCCCAGTCCTCCCAGTATCCGGGGAGGCTTGGTGGTCCATACGGCTGGTCCTGGGGTCAGACCTGGGCTTCCTGCTGCCTCCTTGGCCTGAGAGTCACCACTGGTCTTTTTATTATTATTATTATTATTATATTATTATTATTATTTAAAAGAAAAACGTTTTGGCTCACACCCGGTGATGCTCAGGGCTGACTCCTGGCTCTGCACTCAAGAATTTATTCCTGGCGGTGCTCGGGGGACCCCATGGGATGCCGGGGATCGAACCCAGGTCAGCTGTGCACCAGGCCAACGCCCTCCCCGCTGGGCTGTCGCTCCGGCCCCTTGCAGGTTATTCTTTATGATTCTGAGGAGCAAGAAGAAATGAGAATCTTCTCTGGACCTCTGAACAGGTGAGTGACCCCAGGAACTGGATAAAGGTTTTATGGGTTTTTTTTTTTTTTTGCTTTTTGGGTCACACCTGGTGATGCTCAGGGGTTCCTCCTGGCTCTGCACTCAGGAATCGCTCCTGGCAGTGCTCGGAGGACCCTATGGGATGCTGGGAATCGAACCCGGGTCAGCCGCGTGCCAGGCAAACGCCCTCCCCGCTGTGCTATCGCTCCAGCCCCAGTTTTTTGTTTTTATTTTTCTCCTTGTTTCTGTTTACTTTTGGGCCCGTTCTGCTGACTCCTGGCTCTGCATTCAGGGCTCATTCCCGGTGGGCTCAGGGGTCCCTATGGGATGCCGGGGATTGAACTGGGGTTGGCTGCGGCGTGCAAGGCAAGTGCCCTCCCCACAGTGCCCTCCCACTCTGGTCCCCTGGGGAAAGGCTTTGGAAACCCAGATGTCCAGCATTTTGGGGGAAATTTGGGCTTCCTTGCAAGAAAATCTTTTCCCCGCGGGAGTAGAACTTTCCACGCTGCAAGATAAGAGCCCAGGGGGCTGGAGCGATAGCACAGAGGGGAGGGCGTTTGCCTTGCACGCAGCCAACCCGGGTTCGAGTCCCAGCATCCCATAGGGTACCCCGAGCACCGCCAGGAGTGATTCCTGAGTGCAGAGCCAGGAGGAACCCCTGTGCCTCGCTGGATGTGACCCAAAAAGAAAAAAAAAAGATAAGAGTCCAGAGCTATTTGGACAACTGCTTTGCTCGCCAAAGGGCTGACAGAAAATGTTCAGGAAAGGTTCAGAAGCCTGAAATCAGTCGTATTTTGCGGGAGCGGTGTGGAATTTTCGGGAGTTCCCTATACTTTCAGGTCTTAGTGGGGTGGAAATAGACAACCACGACCTAAAGAAAAAAAAAAAACAGACAAATGTCTCATAGTGGAAACAGTTCTTAGGAATTAGGAAACTGCATTTAGGTGGAAGTGCACGTCTGACCTCTGCAGCACACAGTGAGAACTGCACTGGGGAAGCAGGAAAAGGCCCCTGCTGGTTTTAGAGACGTGCCCAGAGCGCCCCCTGCTGGGCAGAGGCGGTGCTCAACAGCTAGCCCCTCTCTGTGGAGGGGCGTTTTGGTGATGGATCCCGGGTGGTGGACCCCGGGGCTCCCGTATGCCAAGCCTGTGGAGTCCCACCACCCTTGATTTTATTTTATTTATTTACTTAATTATTTGCTTTTTGGGTCATACCTGATGCACAGGGTTACTCCTAGCTCTGTACTCAAGGATCACTCCTGACAGTGCTCAGAGGACCCTATGGGATGCCAGGACGCCGGGGATCGAACCCGGGTCAGCTGCATGCAAGGCAAACGCCCTCCCCGCTGTGCTGTTGCTCCGGCCCCTAATTCCTTTTTTTAAAATTTATTTATTTATTGCACAGAGGCAGTTTGTTGCTGGGGCCACGCCTGGTGGTGCTCAGGGCTGGCTCTGTGTCCAAGGCTCACCCCTGGCAGGCGTGGGGGACCCTGTGGGATGCCGGAATCGAGCCTGGGTTTATTGCGTGCCAGGCAAATGCCCTTCCTGCCGCGCTATTGCTCCGTTGGTTTTATTTTATTTATTTATTTATTGCTTTTTGGGTCCCACCCGGCGATGCTCAGGGCTGACTCCTGGCTCTGCACTCAGGGATCACTCCTGGCGGTGCTCGGGGGACCATATGGGATGCTGGGAATCGAACCTGGGTCGGCCGTGTGCAAGGCCGACGCCCTACCCGGTGTGCTGTCGCTCCAGCCCCACCGATTTGTTAGTTTTAAATCCTTATCCTGAGCCTGAGCGATAGCCCAGCTGGAGGATGTTCCCTGAGCATCGCTGGGTGTGGGCCTGGGTGCAGTGGGCAGCCCTGTGTATGTGTACATGCGTGTTGTGTGCATACGTATGTGCATGTGTGTGTGCGTGTGTGTCTGTGCATCTGCATGTGCATGCATGTTTCCGTGTGCGTGAGTGCATGTGTATGCGTGCGTGTGTGTATGCATGTGTGCACGCACGCATGTGTGTGCATGTGCATGCATCGGCATGTGCATGCATATTTCCGTGTGTGTGAGTGCACGTGTGTGTATGTATGTGTGTACGTGCGTGTGCATGTGCGTGCATATGTGTGTGTGCGTGCATCGGCATGTGCTTGCAGATTGCCGTGTGTGTGAGTGCATGTGTGTGCGTGCGCCTGTGTATGCATGTGTGTGCGTGCATCTGCATGCATGTTTCCGTGTGCGTGACTGCATGTGCGCGCGCGTGTGTATGCACGTGTGTGCGTGTGTGTATGCATGTTTGTGTGCATCTGTGTGTGCATCTGCGTGCATATTTCCGTGTGCGTGAGTGCATGTGTGTGTGCATGTATGCATGTGTGTATGTGCGTGTGTGCCTGCGTGTGCATGTGTGTGCATGTGCGTGCATGTGTGTGCGTGCATCTGCATCCATGGTTTTGTGTGTGTGACTGCATGTGTGTGTGCGTGTGTGCAAGTGTGTGCGTGTGTGCACGTGTGTGCATGTGTGTATGCATGTGTGCATCTGTGTGCGTGCATCTGCATGTGCGTGCATGTTGCCGTGTGCGTGAGTTCATGTGTGTGCATGAGTGTGTGTATGCACATGTGTGTGCGTGTGTATGTGCGTGTGTGCGTGCACGTACATTTGCATGCGTGTGTGTGCATGCATCTGCATGTGCCTTCATGTTTGCTCGTGCGTGTGTGCGTGTGCATGCGTGCATTTGTGTGTGAGTGCGTGCATGGGCGCATGCACGTGCTCGTGTGGGCCCATGTGTGCGTGTGTGTGCATGTGTGTGCATACGTGCATATTTGCATGTGTGCGCGTGTGCCTGCCTCCTGCTTACTCTGTACCCCGCTCTCGGCAGGGACGACGTGTACAAGGTCGACATCGTCACGTTCTGCCAGCGCAAGGCCGAGCAGAGCTGCAGAGCCCAGAGCCCGCGGGGCCAAGACTCCGCGCTCCTGTGGAAGCTTCTGGTCCTGCTCTGCCGCCAGAATGGGGTGAGCGGGGCTGGGACTAGTGGGCCGAGGGCGAGACTCTTCCGGGCATCTAGGACGGCCGCGGCTCGGCCACGTGCAGGGACAGTCATGAATATAAGAGAAGGGGCGGGGGAGTGATAGCACAGCGGGGAGGGCGTTGGCCTTGCACACGGACGACCCGGGTTCGATCCCCGGCATCCCATAGGCTCCCCTGAGCACCGCCAGGAGAGATTCCTGAGTGCAGAGCCAGGAGTCAGCCCTGAGCATCGTCCTGTGGGACCCAAAAAGCAAAAATAAAACAAAAATAAAATAAATAAAAATCAGGGGGCCAGAGTGGTAGCATAGTGTTTAGGGCCTCTGCCTTGCACGTGGCCGACCCGGGTTCGATTCCCGGCATCCCCTAGGGTCCCCCGCCCCGAGCACTGCCAGGAGTGATCCCTGTGTGCAGAGCCAGGAGTCAGCCCTGAGCATCGCCGGGAGGGACCCAAAAAGCAAAAAAATAATCAAATAAATTTGAGAGAAGCGACCAAGGAGCATCTCCCAGCTAGATGCAGGGCCCATCCGCCCCCTCCACCTTTGCTGCAGTTCCCAGCAAAGTGCATGTGTGTACGTGTGCGTGCATCTGCCTGCATGCATGCATGTGTGTGTGTGTGCGTGTGCATGCATGCATTTGTGTGTGCGTGTGCGGGCTGGGCGGGCACCGTGGGAGAGGCCAGCCCGGTGCGGGGACCCCCACCGGGTCCCGCGCTCACTGGGGCTCCCCCCCACCCCCAGTCCATGGTGGGCTCGGACGTCGCCGACCTGCTCATGAAGGACTGCGGGGAGCGGGGCCAGGACCAGCGCCAGCCGCCCGTGGCCGACCTCATCGGGCTGGACGGCGCCGGGGCCTGGCCCATGCCGAGCCCGGGGACCCCGAACCTGCTCACCGGGGAGACCCCCCCGAGCGTGGAGACACCCGCGCAGGTCGTGGAGAAGTTCACCAAGTTGCTCTACTTCGGGAGGAAGAAGGCAAGTGCGCCCCCTGCTGGCAGGCCGCGTCTGTCCCAAGCGCGCCCCCTGCTGGCCGGGGCCGCGTCTAACTCCAGCGCGCCCCCTGCTGGCGGGGCCTCACCACTGCCTGCTTCTCCCCAGCTGCGCCCCCTGCTGCTGAGGCATCACCACCGCCTGCTCAGCTGCGCCCCCCGCTGGCGGGTCCTCACCGCCCTCTGCACATCCCCAGCTGCGCCCCCTGCTGGCGGGGCCTCGTCTGTCCCAAGCGCGCCCCCTGCTGGCCGGGGCCTCGTCTAACTCCAGCGCGCCCCCTGCTGGCGGGGCCTCACCGCCGTCTGCTCAACTGCGCCCCAGGCTGGCGGGGCCTCGTTTGTCCCAAGCGCGCCCCCTGCTGGCGGGACCCCACCACTGCCTGCTTCTCCCCAGCTGCGCCCCCTGCTGCTGAGGCATCACCACCGCCTGCTCAACTGCGCCCCCCGCTGGCGGGTCCTCACCGCCCTCTGCACATCCCCAGCTGCGCCCCCTGCTGGCGGGGCCTCGTCTGTCCCAAGCGCGCCCCCTGCTGGCGGGACCTCACCACTGCCTGCTTCTCCCCCACTGCGCCCCCTGCTGGTGAGGCATCGCCGCCGCCTGCTTAACTGCGCCCCCTGCTGGCGGGGCCTCGTCTAACTCCAGCGCGCCCCCTGCTGGCGGGGCCTCGTATGTCCCAAGCGCGCCCCCTGCTGGCCGGGGCCTCGTCTAACTCCAGCGCGCCCCCTGCTGGCGGGGCCTCACCGCCGTCTGCTCAACTGCGCCCCAGGCTGGCGGGGCCTCGTTTGTCCCAAGCGCGCCCCCTGCTGGCGGGGCCCCACCACTGCCCGCTTCTCCCCCACTGCGCCCCCTGCTGGTGAGGCATCGCCGCCGGCTGCTCAACTGCGCCCCCCACTGGCGGGTCCTCACCGCCCTCTGCACCTCCCTCAAGTGCGCCCCCTGCTGGCGGTGCCTCACCACCCTTTTGCTCTCCTTCCTGGGGAGGAGCAAGAGACCCTCCAGTTACTCTCGAGCTAGTGTCTAGGCCCCGAAGACGGAGAGAGCGGGAGAGGGACCGAGAACTTGCTTATTTTATGTCTTTTGCTGCACGTGGCTCTGTGTGCAGGGCAGTGAGCCAGGGGTCTCTGAGCAATCGCTGGTGTGGCCCCACCGGCCAGATCCAGCCCAAAGTTGTACCTTTTCATACAGGGGGTGACGGAAGGAAGGGAAACAACCGTGGTTCCACCGCCACGAGATGACTCTGGCTGGCCTTGTGGTTTGTTTCCTTGGTGCATTTTTTTAAACATCATCTTGGACTTTGTTTATTTTTGCTTTTTTGTGTTTTTTTTTGGGGGGGTCACACCCGGCAATGCACAGGGGTTCCTCCTGGCTCATGCACTCAGGAATCACTCTTGGCAGTGCTCCAGACCCTATGGGATGCTGGGAATCGAACCCGGGTCGGCTGCATGCAAGGCCAACGCCATCCCCACTGTGCTATCGCTCCAGCCTCTCTTCGTGCATTTTTTTTTTTTGCTTTTTTGGGTCACACCTGGCGATGCACAGAGGCTACTCCTGGCGGTGCTCAGGGGACCCTATGGGATGCTGGGAATCGAACCCGGGTTGGCCGCGTGCAAGGCAAACGCCCTACCCGCTGGGCTATCGCTCCAGCCCCTCTTCATGCGTTTTTAACAGGCATGTTAAACATCACATTTAGTTTACATAGAGTTCTATTTTTCTTTTGTTTTTTTTTGGTGTTGGGGGCCACACCTGGCGATGCTCAGGGCTGACTCCTGGCTCTGCACTCCGGGATCACTCCCGACAGTGCTTGGGGGACCTTTAGCAATGCCTGAGATCGAACCTGGGTCGGCCACATGCAAGGCAAGCACCTTACTTGCTATACTACCTCTCCACTCCCCTCCCCCTGTGAATTATTTTTATTTATTTATTTATTTATTTATTGCTTTTTGGGTCACACCCAGCGATGCACAGGGATGGTTCATGCACTCAGGAATTACTCCTGGCCATGCTCGGGGGACCATATGGGATGCTGGGAATCGAACCCAGGTCGGGCCGCGTGCAAGGCAAATGCCCTCGCCGCTGTGCTATCGCTCCAGCCCCCCTCCCCATGAATTATTATTTAAGAAAACATTTCCCCATAAGCTTCTGGGTTTGATATCCAGGCATGCACACACACACACACACAGACACACACAGACACACACAGATAACACACATACACCCAAAACAAATCATAAAAACTCGCCCCAGTCACTGCATGTGATAAAGCCATTCTGTGGGCTGTACTGAAGCCACCGGCAGTCAGGTGTGGTTGGGGACACGTCCCATGGACCCCTGGTGTGGCCTCTGGCCTCCCGCAGGTGCCTCACACACCCACTGGGAGTGGGGTCAGGGGTGCCAGGCCTGGGTCCTGGGTGGGACTGAGCGTCTGAATGTCCCCAGGAGGCACTGGAATATGCCATGAAGAATCACCTGTGGGGCCACGCCCTCTTCCTGTCCAGCAAGATGGACTCAAGGACCTACAATTGGGTGATGAGCGGGTGAGTGGGTCTCAGGACACCGCCAGGCTGATGGGACATTCCTTTCCTCTAGCGTCTTACCCTTCTGCCCAGACACACTCTACCAGGTCAGTGATGGGAAAGACTCCCGGTGGTCTATCACTGGGCAACCATTCTAGAAAGTTCTAAAAATTTCTAGAAAGTTCTAGAAAGCTCCAGAAAGTTCTAAAAATTTCTAGAAAGTTCTAGAAAGCTCTAGAAAGTTCTAGAAAGTTCCATCTGCAAGGGACTTGGGGCCTCTTCCTTTGAGAATGCCCAGCCATGCCAGGGCGGGGGGTGTGTAGGATTGGGGAGCCCCTGGGTGTTGAGAAGTAGAACTGATAGCAGGGGAGGGGGAAAATCATGCAGGCTAGCCCAGGCCTGGCCCCGGGGGCGAGGGGCTCTCCAGGGGTCCCCCTGACCCCCCACCTATTCCTGCAGTTTCATCAGCACCCTGGCACTCAACGACCCCCTGCAGACCTTCTTCCAGCTCATGTCCGGGCGTATCCCCCAGGCGGCCACGGTAACTGGATGGGGGCCCCCAGGCCAGCATCCCTGGTGGGACCCAGGAGTGAGGGGGATGCCGGGGAATCCTGATCCCCCTGACTTATTTCCTGGGGGCACGGGTGGAACCCGGGGTCATTTTCCCGCTTCTAACAGGCGGAGGTGGGTTGTTCCTGGTGAGTTGAAGGGGTTCAATCCCCTTCTCTGAACAAGACCATAATTTATTAAGGCCATTTATTAATAATTTATTAATTTATTAATACTTTATTAATTTATCAATAAATTATTAATAATTTATTAAGACCATAATTTATTATTATTACTATTATTATTGGGCTGGAGTCATAGCACAGCGGGTAAGGCGTTTGCCTTGCACGTGGCCAACATGGCCAGCCTGGGTTCGATTCCTCCACCCCTCTTGGAGAGCCTGGCAAGCTACCGAGAATATCTCGCCCACATGGCAAAGCCTGGCAAGCTACCCGTGACGTATTCGAGATGCCAAAAACAGTAACAACAAGTCTCATAATTTGCTGTGAGATGTTACTGGTGCCCGCTCGAGCAAATCGATGAACAACGGGAGGACAGTGCTACAGTGCTATAATAATTTTATTATTTGTAATAATTATTATTTGGTTTTGGTCACACCCGGCGGTGCTCAGGGATCCACTCCTGGCGGGGCTTGGGGGTCCCTGTGGGGGGCCAGGGGTTGAGCCCCAGCTGTCCAGGCCAGTGCCCTTCCCGCTGTGCTCTCAAGCCCCGTTTTGGGGTTCATTTTAGAGACTTTCGGGGGGAGACTCTGGCAGTGGCCCCAAGGGATGGGTGTGGCCCTGGCCCCATGCTGGGGGCCGCGCTTGGCATTGCTCGGGGTGACGGGGTCCCAGGGTCGGATGGTGCCCTGACCCCCCCACCCCACGGCCTCCTGCGTTCGTGGGTGTCGGCCGTCCTGAGCACCCCTGGGTGACGGCTTCCTCCCCCTCTGCAGAGCTGCGGGGACCAGCAGTGGGGAGACTGGAGGCCGCACCTGGCCATGGTGCTGTCCAACCAGGGCGCGGAGCCCGAGCTGCAGCGGAGGACAATCGTCACCTTGGGGGACACCCTGGGTAAGCCCCGCCCCGCCGGGCCACCGACCCTCCCTCCTTCCTCCTCCCCTCCCTCCTTCTTCCTCCCTTCCCTCCTTCCTCCCTTCCCCTCCCTTCTTCCCTCCCTCTCTTCTTTCCTTCCTTCCTTCCTTCCTTCCTTCCTTCCTCCCTCCCTCCCTCCCTCCCTCCCTCCTTCCTTCCTTCTTTCCCTCCCTCCCTCCCTCCCTCCTTCCTTCCTTCCTTCTCTCCCTCCCTCCCTTCCTTCCTCCTTCCTTCCTTCCTTCCTTCCTTCCTTCCTTCCTTCCTTCCTTCTCTCTCCTTCCTTCCCTCCCTCCCTCCTTCCTTCCTTCTTTCCCTCCCTCCCTCCTTCCTTCCTTCCTTCCTTCCTTCTTTCCCTCTCTCCCTCCCTCCCTTCCTTCTTCTCTCTCCTTCCTTCCTTCTCTCTCCTTCCTTCCTTCCTTCCTTCCTTCCCTCGTTCCTCCCTCCCTCCCTCCCTCCCTCCCTCCCTTCCTTCCTTCCTTCCTTCCTTCTCTCTCCTTCCCTCCCTCCCTCCTTCCTTCCTTCTCTCCCTCCCTCCCTCCCTCCCTCCTTCCTTCCTTCCTTCCTTCCTTCCTTCCTTCCTTCTTTCCCTCTCTCCCTCCCTCCCTTCCTTCTTCTCTCTCCTTCCTTCCTTCTCTCTCCTTCCTTCCTTCCTTCCTTCCTTCCTTCCTTCCTTCCTTACTCCCTTCCTTCCTCCCTTCCTTCCTTCCTTCCTTCCTTCCTTCCTTCCTTCCTTCCTCCCTTCTCTCTCCTTCCTTCTTTCCTTCTTTCTCTCTCTCTCCTTCCTTCCTTCCTTCCTTCCTTCTCCTTCCTTCCTTCCTTCCTTCCTACCTTCCTCCCTCCTCCTTCCTTCCTTCCTTCCTTCTCCTTCCTTCCTTCCTCCCTCCCTCCCTCCTTCCTTCCTTCCTTCCTTCCTTCCCTCCTTCTCTCCCTCCCTCCCTCCTTCCTTCCTTCCTTCCTTCCTTCCTTCCTTCCTTCCCTCCCTCCCTCCCTCCTTCCTTCCTCCCTTCTCTCTCCTTCCTTCTTTCCTTCTTTCTTTCTCTCTCCTTCCTTCCTTCCTTCCTTCCTTCCTTCCTTCCTTCCTTCCTTCCTTCCTTCCTTCCTTCCCTCCCTGTGGCCATACCTGGCTGTGCTCAGGACTTCCTCTGGCTCTGTGCTCAGGGGTCACTCCTAGCACTTCTGGGGAACCACATGGGTTCCAGGGCTTGAACCCGAGTCCGCCGTCCCGCCCAAGGTGCTCTCCCTCTCTGGCCCCCGGGCACCTGGTTATTTCTCAGCATCTCTGCTGTGACCAGCTCAGCCAGATGCTCCCTGCAAGGGGAGGTGACCCTGTAGGTCCTGTCACCATACATCCCTCAGCAGACAGTTGTGTTGTGTCCACTAACCGTCCCCCTCGCCCACCTCAACCACCCGGGTCATTGTGGAGTCTTAATGACTCTTATCTGGGAAAGTGCTCTAGAATGTTCCAGATCAGTGGCTCTCAAATTCTGTCAAAGACTTTGTCGTACTTTGCGGATGGTTTTTCGGTTAAACTTTGGATTTCTCCATGAGGGCCAGAGAGATAGCATAAGGGTTAGCGCACCTGCCTTCCAGGTGGCTGACCTGGTTCGATCCCGGGCACCACATATGCCCCCCAACGTGCCCCCTGCCGCCAGTGCCATTGAGCACGACCCCAAATTGCAAAATACCCACGGAAGGAAGCTCATAGCTCAGAAGTGGCTGGTGTTGAGGGGTCTTCCACCTGTTTGATGGAACTTGGGGTTAAGGTCATTGAAGATGGGCGGGAGGGGCTGGCACAGCGGGGAGGCGTTTCCTTGCATGTGGCCGATCCGGGTTCGATCCCCGGCATCCCATAGGGTCCCCCGAGCACCACCAGAAGTGACCCTGAGTGCAGAGCCAGGAGTCAGCCCTGAGCATCGCCGGGTGGGACCCAAAAGGCCAAAATAATAATAATAATAATAATAATAATGAGTCATGGGACCGGACAGATAGCACAGCGGGGAGGGAATTTGCCTTGCATGCAGCCGACCCGGGTTCGACTCCCAGCATCCCATAGGGTCCCCCCAAGCACCGCCAGGAGTGATTCCTTCCTGAGTGCAGAGCCAGGAGTCAGCCCTGAGCATCGCCGGGTGGGACCCAAAAATGGGAAAAAAAGGGATATCAAGGTGGAGGGAGGAAGGGGACTGGGAGGGGGGGTGTCTCCCCGTCGACCCCCCGGGTGACCCCCCACCACCCCCCTGCTTGTCTCTCCGGCAGCTTCCAAGGGGCTGGTGGAGGCCGCGCATTTCTGCTACCTCATGGCCCAAGTGCCCTTCGGCCACTACCCCGTCAAGACTGACCGGCTGGTCTTGCTGGGCAGCAGCCACAGGTATGTGGGCGGGGGGACCCCCCACCCCCCTCGCCCCTTGCAGAATCCCACCCTAGCCGGGGCCAGGGAAATGCCCCGCGATGCCGCGTTGCGCCACCAGAGGGCGCGCCTCCCCTGTGCTTCGGCTGCAGTGCTCCCGCCTGGCCACTGGGGGCGTCCAGGCACCGTGGCTGGAGCTTCCAACTAAAAAAAAAACACCAAAAAAGAAGCAAAACTACAAAAAAGCTCCGTGGGAGCACTGCTAGGTTTGCAGAGGCCGCTGGGGTTCTGCCCGAGCGCCCTGATGGTGATTCCACAACCCCCCTGTGCAAAGGCCGCTTGCCCCTCTGCTGACCTCCAGACGTGCCCTTGGACCGGGATAAATGACCCCAGGACCCCCGTCCCGTCCTGTCCTGCCCAGCTGCCCCCCACCCGCCAGGGGCTGCCGTCTCCCAGGCCCACCGGCTGAGCCTTTTTAATTCTGGCCACTCCCGGTGATGCTCAGGGCTGACTCCCAGCTCTGCACGCAGGGGACAACTATGGGATGCCGGGAATCGAACCCGGGTCCTCTGCATGCCAGGCAAGCGCCCTCCCCGCTGTGCTGTGGGCTGGGGCCCGTAATTTGTTTTGCTTTCTGGGTCCCACCGGCGATGCTCAGGGCTGACTCCCGGCTCTGCACTCAGGGATCGCTCCTGGCGGTGCTCGGGGGACCCTAGGGGATGCCGGGGATCGAACCCTGGACGGCCGCATGCAAGGCAAATGCCCTCCCCGCTGTGCTATCTGTCCAGTCCCCATGACTCATTATTATTATTATTGTTAATATTATTTTGGTCTTTTGGGTCCCACCCGGTGACGCTCAGGGCTGACTCCTGGCTCTGCACTCGGGGATCACTCCTGGCGGTGCTCGGGGGACCCTATGGGAGGCCGGGGATCGAACCCGGGTCGGCCACGTGCCAGGCAGACGTTATCACTGTTCTCTCTCCCTCCTCCCTCCTTCCCTCCTCCCAGCCAAGCGTTCCCGAAGTTCGCCACCACCGAGGCCATCCAGAGGACCGAGACCCTCGAGTACTGCCAGACGCTGGGCCGCCCCCAGGCCTCCATCCCGTCCTTCCAGGTCTGACCCGCCCCTCCCCGGCTCCGCCGTGTCACTGCAGGACGGTCACTCCGGGGTCTGGCGGGGTGGACGTCCGGGGACACTCGCTGTCTGGGCCCGTGAGGGGCCGAGGAAGGCGGCTGGGTGGGGGTCAGATGTGCCGCCCTGGACGGGGCTGGGGCCCAGGGGGCAGGCCTGGGGTCGGGGGCCTGGACAGCTGGCCTGCGAGGAGGCTGACCTGAGTTTCCCTCTCCCCTGCCCGCGGCTGCGTCTGCGCCTCCTCCTCCTCCTCCCCCCTCCTCCTTCTCTTCTCTGTTCTCCCTTTCCTCCTCCCCCCTCCTCCTCTCCCTCCTCCTCCTCCCCCCTCCTCCCCTCCCTCCTCCTCCCCCTCCTCCTCTCCCTCCTCCCCTTCCTCCTCCCCTCCCTCCTCCCCTTCCTCCTCCCCTCCCTCCTCCCCCTCCTCCCCTTCCTCCTCCCCTTCCTCCCCCTCCTCCCCTGTCTCTCCCTCCTCCCTCTCTTCTCTCCCTCCTTCCCCTCTTTCTGTCCCTCTTCTCCCTCCTCGTCCCCCTCCTCCCCTTCCTCCTCCCCTCCCTCCCCCTCCTCCCCCTCCTCCTCCCCCTCCCCCCTTAGGCGTACAAGCTGCTGTACGCGGCGCGCCTGGCGGACCACGGGCTGGCGTCGCGGGCGCTGCGGTACTGCGAGGCGGTGGGCGCGGCCCTGCTGGCCCGGGGCGGGGCGGCCCACCCGGTGCTGGCGGCCGAGCTGGTCAGGGTGAGGGGCGCCCCGGGGGCGGGGGGCGCATCCGGGCGGGGACAGGCGGGCGCGGGCCGCGGGACCCCAGGAGGCGGGGTGGGGTGGGCTGGGGCCGGGGTCCCCGCAGAGCAGAGCCGGCCGCCGCCTCCTGAGCCCCGCCCGCCCCCCGCCCGCGCAGCTCGCCGAGAGGCTGAAGTTCTCGGACCCGCTGGACGCGGACCCGGAGCCCGAGTGGCTGGTGCAGCTCCGCCGCCGCCAGGGGGCGCTGCAGGTGCCAAGGGACCAGCGGGCCGGGGCGGGGCCGGGCGGGGCCGGGCGGGGGCGGGGCGGGGGCGGGGGCGGGGCTAGGGCAGGGGGCGGAGCTGAGGCGGGGGGGAGGAGATAGGGCAGGGGGCGGAGGAGCTGGGGCGGGGGGAGGAGATAGGGCAGGGGGCGGAGCTGGGACAGGTGCGGGGCTAGGGCAGGGGCGGGGCTAAGACAGGTGCGGGGCTAGGACAGGTGCGGGGCTAGGACAGGTGCGGGGCTAGGGCAGGGGCGGGGCCAGGACAGGGGGCGGAGCTGGGGCAGGGGCGGGGCTAGGGCAGGAGGCGGAGCTGGGGCCGGGTGGGCGGAGATAGGGCAGGGGGCGGAGCTGGGACAGGAGCGGCGCTAGGACAGGGGCGGGGCTAGGACAGGTGCGGGGCTAGGGCAGGGGCGGGGCCAGGACGGGGGCGGAGCTGGGGCAGGGGCGGGGCTAGGACAGGAGGCGGAGCTGGGGCCGGGGGGCGGAGATAGGGCAGGGGGCGGAGCTGGGACAGGAGCGGCGCTAGGACAGGGGCGGGGCTAGGACAGGGGCGGGGCCAGGACAGGGGGGCGGAGCTGGGTCAGGGGCAGAACCAGGGCAGGGGGCGGAGCTGAGGCGGGGGAGGAGCTAGGGCAGAGGCGGAGCTAGGGCAGGGGATGGAGCTGGGGCAGGGATGAGCTGGGGCAGGGGCGGAGCTGGGACAAGGGTGGGGCTAAGTCAGGGGGAGGAGCTAGGGCAGGGGGCGGAGCTGGGACAGGGGGTCAGAGCTAGGACGGAGGGAGGAGCTGGGTAGGGGGCAGAGCTAGGGCAGGGGCGGGGCTAGGCCAGGGGTCAGAGCTAGGGCAGGGATCAGAGCTAGGGCAGGGGGCGGAGCTAGGACAGAGGGAGGAGCTGGGGCAGGGGCCAGCCAGGGCTGGGGCGGCCCTTTGCAGCCCTCTCTGCTCCCGGGCTGTGGTGCACTTTTGCCGCCAGCAGGAGGTGCTGTGGCAGAGCCTGCGAAAGGAGAAACCTTTTCTCTTGTTGAAAGACGACCTCTTCCTTTTTAAATTTTGTTTTTTGGGACCACCACTAATGGCCTCAGGGCTTCCTCCTGGACTCAGCAGTCTCTTGGCAGGGTTCGGGGGATCAGATGTGGTGCTGGGGAATTGAACCAAAGCTGGCCGGGTGCAAGTGCCTGACCCTCTGTACTATCTCTTTGGCCCTAGTTTTTGCTGTTAACCCACACCTGGTGGAGCTCTGAGCTTCCTCCTGGCTCTGTCCTCAGGGATCACGCCTGATGGCATCGAACCCGGGCTGCTGCATGCAAAACAAGCACCTCATTTGCTGTACTATCTTATCCAACACCTTCCTTTTGGGGAGGGGGTTTGAATCACACCCGGCGATGCTCGGGGCTGACTCTTGGCTTTGCACTCAGGAGTCACTCCTGGCGGTGCTTGGGAGACCCTATGGGATACCGGGGATCGAACCCAGGTTAAACACTTAACAAGGCAAATGTACTCCCTGCTGTACTATAACTTCACCCCATCAGCCCCCACCCTACCTAGCCGCTCTTTTATAATTTGTGTTAAAATTAAAGCCCCAGAGGTCTTTGCCCCTTGTCTTCCACTAGTACGGTCTTTTTGATGGCTGCATAATATTCCCCACAGAATACTCTCATCTTGGGTAGGCATGGGCATGCTACATGCTCATTGCTGCAGCAACAAAAGTGGGGCGCACTGTCTCCATGATGCAGCTCCGTCCTCTTCAGAGAAATAACCCAGAGGGGGGCTGCCAGGTGTCCTAGCAGTGGGCACCCTTCACTTTTGGGGGATCCCCGCGCCGTTTCTCCATGGCAGCTGTCCAAAGTTTTGCATCCCCACCAGCTTCGCCTCCTGTCTTTTGGGGACCAGTTCTGCCCACACCAACATGCCCTGGGCCTCCTCCCTTCCCCCCAAAGCCTCGTGATTCTGAGCACTCACCCACGGGGGCTCAGGGAAATGACGAGGCTCCCCCAGTTCCCTGGCCGCTGGACCCTGGGCAGGACTGAGGCCAGGCACCCCCCTTCCCTGCAGCCTCTGCCCTGGCGTTTCCCGCTGGCCGTAGCTTCCCAGCACCTGCTCCCCACGCGTGTTTGCCCGCTACAAAGAATTTCACTTGATTTTTCACAGGCAAAGGGAGCGAGAGACGCTGAGGACCCTGGTTCAGTTTATTCAGCTGTTTCGGGAGCTGGAGGAGCCGATGCAGGCGGCCAGACAGATGAGCCGAGTACGTGGGGTTTGGGGTGGGGTCGTACAGAGAGGCCGCCCCGTCGTTTCCCGGGTACCGTTCCAGCATCTCCACTGGGGTTCAAATCTCCTTGGAGCGGTTGCCATGGAGCTGGACCACCCGGGCGGGTTCCTTCCCACGCAGACCCTCCTGGGGGCCAGAGAGGGGGCTGGCCCTGTGCTTCCTGCCCTCCTTGGGGCCAGAGGATGTGTTTTACCCCAGTGGGTGGTGCTGTTGGGGGGCAGGCCGGGGGGATCCCCCCACCCCTCCCTTGCCCTCACTTCGCTCCAGGCAGAGCAGGGAGGCAGCAAAGGGCCAGCTGCCCTGTCTCAGATTCTGGGGGTGTGGAGTGTGGGGGGCACCAGGCTAAGCAGTTTCTGATTTTTTTGGTGGGGGCGATGCTCAGGGGGTCCTCCTGCACTCAGGCGTTACTCCTAGCGGTGCTCGAGGGACCCTAGGGAGTGTCCTGAATCGAACCCGGGTCAGCCACGTGCAAGGCAAGCGCCCTCCCTGAGATACCTGAGTTTCTGACTTTTACTGTTTTTTTTGGGGGGGCACATGCGGTGGTGTGGGATGGTGGACCCACAGAGAAAGTCACGTGCTCCAGCACTTGATGTTATCTCCCCGGCCCTGCTCTGGGCGTGGGGGGTCCTCAATGGCCGTGTCTGTGCCCACCACTCAGCAGAATGGCAGAGACACAAGGACTGGGTCTCAGACGGGGCGGGGCCAGGGCTGGACGAAGCTAGGGTAGGGGCGGAGCTAGAAATGGGCGGAGCTAGGGCTGGGGTGGAGCCAGGGCTGGGCGGACCTAGGGTAGGGGCGGAGCTAGGTCTGGGCGGAGCTAGGGATGGGGTGGAGCCAGGGCTGGGTGGGGCTAGGGTAGGGACGGAGTTAGAGCTAAGCGGAGCTAGGGATGGGGTGGAGCCAGGGCTGGGCGGGGCTAGGGTAGGGGCGGGGCTAGGGCTGGGCGGAGCTAGGGCTGGGGTGGAGCCAGGGCTGGGCGGAACTAGGGTAGGGGCGGAGCTAGAGCTGGGCGGAGCTAGGGATGGGGTGGAGCCAGGGCTGGGCGGAGCTATGGTAGGGGCAGGGCTAGAGCTAAGCGGAGCTAGGGATGGGGTGGAGCCAGGGCTGGGTGGGGCTAGGGTAGGGACGGAGCTAGAGCTAAGCGGAGCTAGGGATGGGGTGGAGCCAGGGCTGGGCGGGGCTAGGGTAGGAGCGGGGCTAGGGCTGGGCAAAGCTAGGGATGGGGTAGAGCCAGGGCTGGGCGGAGCTAGGGTAGGGGCGGAGCTAGGGCTGGGCGAAGCTAGGGATGGGGTGGAGCCAGGGCTGGGCGGAGATAGGGTAGGGGTGGGGCTAGGGCTGGGCGGAGCTAGGGATGGTGTGGAGCCAGGGCTGGGCGGAACTAGGATAGGGGCGGAGCTAGGGGCGGAGCTAGGGTGGGGCTTGAGCCAAGGCTGGGTGGAGCCAGGGTGGAGCAGTGCCAGGGCTGGGTGGAGGAGCTATGGCGAGGGCGGACCCAGTGGAGCTAGGGTCGGGGCGGAGCTAGGGTGGGGCGGGGCCAAGGCTGGACAGAGCTAGAGCAGGGGCAGAGCCATAAATGGGTGGAGCTATGGTGGGGGCAGAGCCAGGACTGGGCGGAGCTAGGATGGGGGCGGAGCCAGAGATGGGTGGAGCTAGGGTGGGGACGGAGCAGGAATGGGTGGAGCTAGAGCGGGGGCGGAGCCAGACATGGATGGAGCCATGGTGGGGGCAGAGCCAGGACTGGGCAGAGCTAGGATAGGGGCGGTGCCAGGGCTGGACAGAGCTAGAGGGGGAGGGTGGCGAGCTAGAGATGGGTGGAGCTATGGTGGGGGCAGAACCAGGACTGGGCGGAGCTAGGGTGGGGGCGGAGTCAGGGCTGGGCGGAGCTAGGGTGGGGGCGGAGCCAGAGCTGGGCGGAGCTAGAGCGGGGGCGGAGCCAGTGATGGATGAAGCCATGGTGGGGGCAGAGCCAGGACTGGGAGGAGCTAGGGTGGGGTGGAGCCAGGGCAGGGCGGAGCTAGATTGGGGCGGGGCCAGAGATGGGTGGAGCTATGGTGGGGGCAGAGCCAGGACTGGGCGGAGCTAGGGTGTGGGCGGAGCCAGGGCTGGGCGGAGCTTGGGGTCCAAGATTGGGTGGGAGCTAGTACTGGGGTAGAGGGCATTGCACCAGTCTCCCACCCGAAACGTGACCCCCTTTTCCATGCTCTGTTCTTAGGCCTAATTAACCCTGTCTAGTAATTCAAGCATATGATTAAAAAATATATCTGGGGCGGGGATTATACCTGGTGGTGCTTGATAGCTGCTCTTGGCTCAGTGCTCGGGGGTTGTTCTGAGTGCTGCATGGGCGATCGTGTGGTGCTGGGGATTGAACCCGGGGCTCCTGCAAGCAAAGCCTGTTCTCTGCCCACTGAGCCATCTCCCTGGCCCCTGATTTTGGGGGGGGCATTGGGGTCATACCAGCAGTGCTCAGGGGCTGCTCCTGGTTTGGTCCTCAGAATTTAACCCCTGGTGGTGCTACGGGGGCCGTGTGTGGTGTCAGGGATTTGAAGCAGGGTCGGCCATACTTTAACAACCCTGTGGTGTCTCTCGGGGCCGTTGGTGTGTGTGTGTGTGTGTGAAGCGAGTTAGCTTTTATTGAATGAAATTTACTTAGACTGTGAGGAGAGAGAGGGGGGTGAGCAGGCAGCTTCTGCTCCCTGTGCCCGGTGCTGGGGGTCCATATCCATGTGAGGGGCTGATTCTTTGTGTGTGTGTGTGCTTTTTGGGTCCCACCCGGTGGTGCTCAGGGGTCCCTCCTGGCTCTGCACTCAGGAATCACTCCTGGAGGTGCTCGGGGGGCCCTATAGGATGCCGGGGATTGAACCCGGGTCATCCGCGTGTAAAGCCAATACCCTCCCCTCTGTGCTATCGCTCCAGCCTGAAGGGCTGATTCTTGAGCTCCCAGCGGTCAGTGGCCAGCTGCCCATGTCCCCCCACGTGCCCAACCTGCGCCAACACGGGCCGGAAGGTTCTGGGGGGCCGGGTAGATGCCAAATCCACCCTCCCCTCTCCCTCTCTCCCTTCTGCAGGGGGGCTCCTGGGTCCCAGCGGTGACCCCGAAGGCCTTGGTGACAGCGCGGTGACCCCGTTCCTGCAGCCCCCTCTGGGCCTGTCGGGCGCCCACTCAGCAGACGACGGGGGCGCGGCGCCCGCGGTGGTCCCAGTGCCGCTGTACCCCGTGGCCCCGGCCGCTCTGCCAGGGCGTGGGGGCAGCGGGGCAGGGCCTGAGGCCCCCCTGCCCCCTGGTGAGTCCGTTCATGGCCGGGTCCTCTGCCTGCCCGCCCCTCTGTGGGTCGGGGGTCTCAGGCTGGCCCGGTGGGTCTCAGCCTGGGGGGCGGGACAGCTGCAGAGAGGAGCCGCCCTGGGGAGGGTCCTGGGTTCCAGCTCCAGGGGTTCTCTGGGCTGGGGGCTGAGGGGGCTGGCCAGCGTGTGTGGGGTCCCCTCCCGGGGGGCTGTGTGGGGTCCCTTCTGGGCGCTATGTGGGGTCACCTCTCGGGCGCTGTGCAGGGTCCCCTTCGGGGGGCTGTGGGGTATGGCTTGGGGACAGCAGGGCCCGTTCTGTGCAGCAGGGGACCCTGGCCCGGCCCCGGAGCCCTTCCTGCCCCTGGACGGTGTGGAGGTGACGCCCGGCCCGCAGGTGAGGAACAGGGTACGCATGTACGCATGTTCATGTATGTGCATGTGGACACGTGTGTGAGTTCGGGCCAGAGCTATGGGCTGCACCGAGTATTAGGGTGGCCCGTGTCTCCACCTCTCCCCCCTGCACTCCTGTCTCCCACTTCCTCCTTCCCTCCCCTCCCCTCCCCCTCCCCCTCTCTTCCTCTCTCTCCTTCCATTACTCTCCTCTCTTCTCTCTCTCTCTTTCTTCCTCCCTCTCTAATTCTCCCTGTTTCTCTCTCTCTCTCTCTTTTGCTTTTTGGGTCCCACCCGGCGATGCTCAGGGCTGACTCCCGGCTCTGCACTCAGGGATCACTCCTGGCGGTGCTCGGGGAACCCTAGGGGATGCCAGGGATCGAACCCTGGTCGGCCGCGTGCCAGGCCAATGCTCCTTCCCCCCTGCTGTGCCACCTCTCAGCCCCCCCTCCCCTCCAGACCGTTGGGAGGCCAAAGCAGGATCTGTGCTCCCAGCATCCGTGAAACATGCAGAACAGTGCTCACGGCGCGGTGGATTCTCCTTCTGTGCCAGTGTCCCCTAAGGAAGGTTCTGGTGGGCACCGGAGAAGCGTAGAGCAAGGGGGAGGGTCACGCAGGACCCAGGCTGGAGCCAGAGCACAGCGGGGAGGACGCTTGCAGCCTCACGTGTGGCCGACCCGGGTTTGATCCCCGGCATCCCATAGGGTCCCCCAAGCACCGCCAGGAGTGATTCTTTTTTGGGTCCCACCTGGCGATGCTCAGGGCTGACTCCCGGCTCTGCACTCAGGGATCCCTCCTGGCGGTGCTCGGGGAACCCTATGGGATGCCGGGGATCAAACCCGGGTCGGCCATGTGCAAGGCAAGTGCCCTATCCGCTGTGCTATCACTCCAGGCCCCAAGGAGTGATTCTTGAGCACAGAGCCGGGACTCAGCCCTGAGCATCACCAGGTGGGACCCCCAAACCAACCAACCAACCAACCCAACGAAGTAAATCACGCAGGACCTAGTACAGCCCCCGAGGCCAGGGAACAGGACATTTCATGGGGACTCGCTGGGTGGAGCTTGTCAGGCCTTGGGGGGGTCCGGCCCGTGCCCCTGTCCACGCCCACAGCTCCGTGCTCTTTTCTGCTCGCTCCAGGTGACCCCAGTTCCCAGGGTGCCGGTGTCCCCAGCGAGTTCGGCCAAGAAGGAGCAGGAGGTGGAGGAGAAGGAGGAAGAGGAGGAATCACCTGCAGCCAGAGAGAAGCAAGAGAACTCCAAGGTGGGGCCCATACTGTCCTCCCCCTCCCCCAGGGCAGCTGCTGGGTTGGAATTGGGCCTGGTGGGGTCCCCGCCCCTCCTGGGGCGCCCCCGTCTCCCCTCCAAGTACCGGAAGTGACCCCCCCTTTCTTCTTCCAGGGCTCCGGCTTTGGCTGGTTCAGCTGGTTCCGTTCCAAGCCCAGCAGTTCCTCGTCCTCTGGAGACGAAGACCCCTCGGACTCCGAGGTGACGCCCCCCGACCCCCCAGACGCCTGGGAGCTCCCGCCGAACCCCACCCCCCCCGGAACAGGGCCTTTGCACGAGCGGCTGGAGCGGGTGGGGGGCTCACTGGGAGGGTCAGGGGTGATTCAGGGTCTTGGGTGCGAGGGGTCAGCGCGAGGGGTTTCCCCCACACCCCCGGGTGGAGAAGTGGCCGGAACTGAGGTTTTGGGGGACGGCGATGGGTCTAGGAGCCCAAGGCGGGTGGCGCAGGGTAGACCGTGGCCCTAGGGGCCAGCGGGGCCACCCCTCCCGACGGTCCCCTCTCTGCACCCCCAGGACGCCCCCAGACCTTCACACCCGCCCCGCGCTGACCCGGGTCCCGCCCTGATGCCTTCCTCAGCCTTCCAGCCGCTGTCAGGGGCAGCCGATGGCTTGAGGGCTGGAGGCCTGCCTGGGCCTGCGGTGAGCTGACCGGAACTGGGGGGGGGGGGTCCAGGGGCACGCCCTGGGTGGAGGGGAGTGGCCTGCACGGGCCTGGGGGTCCCAGCCTGGGAGGCTTCCCAGGCCCCCAGAACAGGGTGTGGGTGTGTGGGGGGCTACAACAAAAGGCATTTTATTTATTCAGGCCACCTCCACTGTGGAGGTGCTTGGCTGCTACTCCTGGTACAGTGCTCAGCCGCTGTTCCTGGCACAGTGCTCGGCTGCTGCTCCTGGCACAGTGCTCGGGGCTGCTCCCGGTGGTGCTCAGGGGAACCTGCAGTGCTGGGGGGACAACCCAGGCCTCCTGTGTGCAGCCCCATCTTTCTGCCCCATCCTCTCCGGTTGTTTAATTTGACCCGGAAGTGGATTCTGGAGTCTGACTTTGGGTGTCAGCTGGGCTGGGTTCTCCAGGCCCTGGTTGGCCGCGTTGCAAGGCCAACGCCCCCCCCTTGCTAAACTGTCCCTCCAGCCCCCAAAGAACCGCTTTCTCAGACCCGGTCTCCAGCCCCTGGCGGCTCGCACCCAGCACTCAGCGTCCTTGGCGAGGCCTGGAGCAGTCTTTGGTTGGCGGGTCGTGGGGTCTCGGGGATGGAGTCCCAGGCCCCCTGCGTGCAAAGCCAGCGCTGAGCCCCTGAGCTGTTGCCACCGCCCAGCACACTCTTGGCCCCAGGCAGCTGCTGGTGATGCGAGAGATTTTTTTTTAAATTTTTAATTGATTTTTTATTTTTTGGGATTTTTGGGGCACAGCTGGCAATGATCAGGGCTGACTCCTGGCTCTGCACTCGGGAATCACTCCTGGCGGTGCTCGGGGGACCCTAATGGGATGCTGGGGATCGAACCCGGGTTGGCCGTGTGCCAGGCAAATGCCTTATGCATTGGACTATTGCGCCACCTAGATTCTTTTTTTCTTTCTTTCTTTCTTTTTTTTTTTTGCTTTTTGGGTCCCACCCGGTGATGCTCAGGGCTGCCTCCTGGCTCTGCACTCAGGAATCACTCCTGGTGGTGGTCAGGGGACCCTAGGGGATGCCGGGGATCAAACCCAGGTCGGCCGCGTGCAAGGCAAACGCCCTACCCGCTGTGCTATTGCTCCAGCCCCTTTCTTTCTTTCTTTCTTTCTTTCTTTCTTTCTTTCTTTCTTTCTTTCTTTCTTCCTTCCTTCCTTCCTTCCTTCCTTTTTTGCGTCACACCTGGCGATGCTCAGGGCTGACTCCCGGCTCTGCACTCAGGGATCACTCCTGGCGGTGCTGGGAGGACCCTATGGGATGCGGGGGATCGAACCCGGGTCGGCCGCGTGCCAGGCAAACGCCCTCCCCGCTGTGCTATGGCTCAGGCCCTGGTGCACGGGTCTGATGGTTTCTCGTGACTTCCTGTCTCAGGCCTCGCCGTCGGACTTCAACCCCGGCTTCCTGCTTCCTCCGCCCACCTTCCAGGTCCCCCTCTACAACCCAGCTCAGGTGCCGCAGGTGAGGAGGGGCCGGCAGGGGAGGGAGGCGGTGGGGGGGGGGCGGGGATGGGCGCACTGGGCTGGGGTTCCAGTGCTCCCGCCCAGGGGTGGGGGTGGTTGCAGTGTTGAGGACCGGACTCAGGGTCTCACAGGCGCCAGGCAGGTGCTCTCGCCTCAGACCCATCTGCCTCATGTGTGTGAGTGTCCGTGCATGTGCGAACACACGTGTGCCTATGTATGAGTGTGTAGACATGGGTGTGCATGTGTGAGTATGCGTGATTGTGTGTATACACACGTGTGTGTGTGTGTGTTTCTGAGCATGAGTTTTGCTTCCCTGTGTCGAGTGGGAGCGATTTTCAGGGGAGAAATGCTCAAGGAGGGACCAGGGTAATAGCACAGCAGGGAGGGCGTTGGTCTTACATGCAGTCAACCCGGGTTCGATTCCCAGCATCCCCTGGGGTCCCCCGAGCACCGCCAGGAGTGATTCCTGAGTGCAGAGCCAGGAGTCAGCCCTGAGCATCGCTGGGTGTGGCCCCCAAACCAAACCCCCCAAATGCTCCATCAGTGGCATAGCCTTAATACCACCACTCCTGACTATTTTTTTGTTTGGTTTTTCTTTTATTTGTTTTTGCTTTTTGGGTCCCACCCGGCGATGCTCAGGGGTTCCTCCTGGCTCTGCACTCAGGAATCACTCCTGGTGGTGCTCGGGGGACCATATGGGGCGCTGGGAATCGAACCTGGGTGGGCTGCGTGCAAGGCAAAGGCCCTCCCCGCTGTGCTATTGCTCCAACCCCATTTGGTTCGTTTTTTTTTTTTTTTTTTTGCTTTTTTTGGGTCACACCCGGCACCCGGCGATGCTCAGGGGTTACTTCTGGCTCTGTGCTCAGGAATCACTCCTGACGGTGCTTGGAGGACCCTATGGGATGCTGGGGATCGAACCTGGGTTGGCCACGTGCAAGGCAAACGCCCTTCCCGCTGGGCTACGTCCTTGATTTTTGTCCTAAGCCTGACGCTGAGAGGTGCAGCGGAGGAGGGCGTGAATGATGGGGTCCACTGCTCACAGTGTCCGTGAGGATAAGCCCAACTCCTCACCTCTCTGGTGCAGGCCTCGGGGGGCTCTGCACCCCTTTCCAAGCACCCCTTTCTCTCACCACGCTTTATTTTTATTTTATTTTATTTATTTTTGCTTTTTGGGTCCCACCCGGCGATGCTCAGGGCTGACTCCTGGCTCGTGCACTCAGGAGTCACTCCTGGCGCTGCTCGGGGGACCCTAGGGGATGCCGGGGATCGAACCCGGGTCGGGCAAGTGCCAGGCCAACGCCCTCCCCCGCTGTGCTATGGCTCCAGCCCCTCCCACCACCCTTTAGAGGGGCTGCAAATAATTGGCGCCCCCTGCTGGCCAACCCCAGGCAGTGCTCTGAGTCCTGTCCCTTGGGGGTGGGGTGGGGGAGGGGGCACACGGGACTGACCAAGCAGGGTCTGTGCTTCGTTCCAGCTCTCCACCGTGTCCAGCCAGAACCGGCCAAACCGCCTCGCCCAGCGCCGCTACCCTGCTCAGCCGGCCGTGCTGTGATCGGGACCCCTGCCCAGTCTTGTCTCCCTGGCGCCCCCTGGAGGACGGTCTTCGCCAACCCCCCCCATGTCCCCCTCCTCACACACACACCTCCTGCCCCCCCCCCCCCCCCACCTCCTGGCCTGCTACAGGGTCTGGATGTTGAAGACTTCCTAGTGGAACACAGGACATACAGAAGTCCAGCTGTGTGGGCTCCCGGCACCCACCCAGGTCTGTCTCTGAATACGGGGGTGTCAGGACCCCTGGATGTGATTCACGCTTGGGACGGAGGACCCTGATTTGTCTTTTTTGTTTTTTTCTTTTTGGGTCCCACCCGGCAATGCTTAGGGCTGACTCCTGGCTCTGCACACAGGAATCACTCCTGGCGGTGCTCGGGGGACCCTATGGGGTGCCGGGGATCGAACCCGGGTCAGCCGCGTGCCAGGCAAACGTCTTCCTTGCTGGACTATCGCTCCGGCCCCAGGACCCTGATTTTCTAGCAAGTCCAGAGTCTGGTGGTGACCGCAGCCTGGCACCAGGGAACGGTGGAGGCAGAGACGCCCAGGGCAGGGCGGACGGGGACACCTATCTGTGGGCATAGGTCCACTCCTGGCTCTGCCTTTTTTTTCTTTTCTTTTTGGGTCCCACCCGGCGATGCTCAGGGCTGATTCCTGGCTCTGCGCTTAGGGATCACTCCTGGCGGTGCTCGGGGGACCCTATGGGATACCGGGGATTGAACCCGGGTTGGCCGCGTGCAAGGCAAACGCCCTCCCAGCTGGGCTATCACTCCAGCCCGGGATAGAAACTCTTCCAGGCAGAAAGAAGCCAGCGCCCGGACCTGCTCCCGGGATATTGGCCAGTCCAGCCCTTTGAGGCCACAGCCAGGCCATGACTTGGGAGTTTCGTCTCCCTCTGCACCCCTCTAAAGGAACTATTCTCGCTGATTTTGTGGAGTTGCTAAAAACTGACCCTCCTCACGAGTACCTCCTCCCTCAATTTTTTCCTCTTTTTTTCCCCTCCCTTTTTTGTATGTGTAATTTCAGGCGTGGGCTTGATGCTCCAGGCCCTGTGGTTCTGGCATTGACAGCGGTTAACACGGAATCGTTTTCTCGCAAACGCTCGGCTCGGTGGAATTTCTTTTCTCTGCACCGTGACGGGTCTCTCTCTCGTGCTTTTTTCGTTGGTGCGTTTCTAGCGGGCCGGGTGGAACCATCTGGAAAGAGCCCATGAATGATGAGCGAAGCTTCTAGGGCCCAACCCACTTTGTGGGTTGTTGGATCACACCCAGTGGTGCCCAGGGCTGACTCCTGGCTCTGTGCTCATGGATCCTTCGTGGCGGGGCTCAGGGGGCCCGAGGGGATGCCGGGGATCGAACCCGGGTTGCTACATGCAAGACAGACACCCTGTGCATTGTCATTCTGCCCCACTATATATTTTTAATCAGTTGGAAAAAGTAGTGGAGCCAACCTTAGGGCACACCCGTCATTTTACTGACTGAACACAAATTCTGTTTCTTCCCAGAAGTGTTGGCTTCCTTCAGCGTAAAGGAGAAAGTGAGTGGGGCTGGAGCCATAGCACAGCGGGGAGGGCGTTGGCCTTGCTCGCGGCCAACCTGGGTTCGATTCCCAGCATCCCCTAGGGTCCCCCAAGCACCACCAGGAGTGATTCCTGAGCACAGAGCCAGGAGTCAGCCCTGAGCATCGCCAGGTGTAGCCCCCAAATAAAACAAAAGCACCAGCAGAATAAAGGGCTCCTCCCTCCGGGACAAGGGTGGCGAGGCCACCAGGCAGGTTTATCCTTGCAGCTTCCATCAAAGCCAAATCCACACCAGGCTCGAACCCCGCGCTACATCTGCAAGCCTCTGCCACCTCCTCTCCCCTCCTCCCTCCTCTTTTCCGGAAGTGGGGACATCCCGGGCCAAACCCTGTATATATGTATACTTGCACTTTTCTTTTTCTTTTTTGGGTCCCATCCTGCGATGCTCAGGGCTGACTCCTGGCTCTGCACTCAGGAATTAGTCCTGGCAGTGCTCAGGGGGCCCTATGGGATGCTGGGAATCGAACCCCGGTTGGCCGCGTGCAAGGCAAATGCCCTCCCCGCTGTGCTCTCGCTCCAGCCCCTGGTCCCCTCTCTTTAATACACTCAACACCCCCCGTCCCCCCAAAGTAACAGCCGCCTTCGCCCCACCGTGCCACCTTAATAAGCCATCTGCCGAGGAAGCAAACATAATACACACACACACACACACACACACACACACACACACACACACACACAAATCGCACGAACGCGTAATCCCCAACCCAGAAGGGAACCAGCAGCTGCCACCTGGCCCCAAAGAAAACAGTTTAATATTTATCCAGACGAGAAGGGAGAGGCCCCCACCACCCCGCCAGCAGTCAGCATTCTCTGGGGGCCAGGCTGGGGGGGGGGCAGTGATGACAGTCCCCCTGCACGGGGACACGGCGTCAATCCTGCCCTGTGCCTCAGGTCTCTGTTCCCTGGGGGTCTCAGGCGAGCATCAATCTGCCAGGCTGGGAGGGAGAGAGGGGCTGATTGGAGCTGGAAGGGGGGGAGGGGAGGGGAGCGGAGAGGAGAGAAAGAGGGAGACAAGGAGAGAGGGAGGAGGGAGAGATGGAGGAGAGGAGAGAGAACAAGAGAGAGGAAAGAGAGGGAGAGAGGAGAGAGGGAGAGAGAGATGGGGGCTGGAGCGATAGCACAGCGGGGAGGGCGTTGACCTGGCACGCGGCCGACCCGGGTTCGATCCCCAGCATCCCATAGGGTCCCCCCGAGCACTGCCAGGAGTGATTCCTGAGTGCAGAGCCAGGAGTCAGCCCTGAGTATCGCCGGGTGGGACCCCAAAATAAGCAAAAAACAAAAAACGAAAACCCAAAAAACCAGAACCATGTAAATCACAGAACCTCAATTAGTTTTGAGCAACTGAGTCAGCAAATACCAGGACCAGCGTCCACGGGGTGTGGTCTGAAGATGGGGAGGGGGTTTGGGGGAGTTGGGAAAGGCAAAGGGAGGGTCACACTGGCTTGTGGAAGACCCCCCTCCGCCTCTATGGCAGACACTTCCCTTCTCCGTCTCTCTCTGTCTCTCTCTCCATCCTTCCCTCCCTCTCTCCTCCTCTCTCTCTCTCTCTCTCTCTCCTCTCTCTCTCTCTCTCTCTCTCCCTTGGCTAGCCATTCAGTCCCTCCCTCTATCCAGAACTCATCTCCTTCTATGGAATAGGACATATTTCTTCTTTTCCTCCCTGTCTTCTTGGGCCACACCCGGCGATGCTCAGGGCTGACTCCTGGCTCCACACTCAGGAATCACTCCTGGCGGTACTCGGGGGACCCTATGGGATGCCGGGGATCGAACCTGGGCCAGCCACGTGCAAGGCAAACGCTCTCCCTGCTAATACTCTCACTTCGGCTCCATGCTATTTCTCAATCTCCTCATTCACCCAACAACATTTTTGTGTGTTTGTTATTGGCTGGAGCAATAGCACAGCGGGTAGGAGGTTTGCCTTGCACGCAGCCGGCCTGGCTGACTTAGGTTCGATTCCTCCGCCCGTCTCGGAGAGCCCGGCAAGCTACCGAGAGGATCTCGCCCGCACGGCAGAGCCTGGCAAGCTCCCCGTGACGTATTCGATATGCCAAACACAGTAACGAGTGTCACAATGGAGACGTTACTGGGCCTGCTCCAGCAAGTGGATGAACAACGGGAGGACAGTGACAGTGACAGTTATAGGCCCACACCCAGAAGTGCTCAGGACTTACTCCTGGCTCTGTGCTCAGGGATCACTCCCAGTAGGACTTGGGGGACTCCAGGATCGAACCCGGGTCAGCTGTTTGCAAGGCACACACCCCATCTGCTGTATCACTCTGGTCTGGAATGTTGAAATATATATTTTTTGCAAACACAGTTTGTCCTGGGGACCATGGGTCTCTCCTGGTTTTACACGTGTCAGAAAGATCTAGAAGCGATCGGCCCGGCTGCCAGTGTCACTGTGTCTCCCAGTATCTCGGTGCTTGTCATCCCCCAAGCCAGAGAGGGCCTGATCCCAGGAATGGGTCCCCTGCGTTGGCATCTAATGATTTCTTGGAAAAATCATAAACAGGGAACATTACCAACCACAGCCAGTGCCTGTCTCTCTTTTTTTTTTTTGGGTTTTCACTTTTTTCTTTTTCTTTCGCCCCTCAAAGAGGAGCTGCAGAGAAATGTGGGGGGAAATCTGGAGAATAGGAGAATAGAGCTCGTTCTTAATTCATGACCGGCTTTGATCAGAACTGCATCAGCAGGAGAAGGAGGTCTTAGCGTCCTGGAGGTAATTATTCTGGCTTTAGGGCAGGGCGCCTTCTCTTTCTTCTTCTTCTTCTTTCCCACTGGGGCCAGGGGAGGGGGGAAGAAAGAAAGAAAGAAAGAAAGAAAGAAAGGAAGAAAGAAAGAAAGAAAAAAAAGGCTGGCAAAGCTAACGTGCTTAAGGAATGAGATGCTTTCTGGATGCCTGGCCTGGAAACTGTGTTTCCTAAAGGGGAAGCCACAAAAGAGACTGCATTTAGCAGACAGGAGCGGGCCCTCCTCGCCTCTGAAGCTTGTCATGGAAAGTGCTAGAGGCAGGAGCGGCCAGGATGACTCAAAAAAAAAAAAAGAAAGAAAGAAAGAAAAGCAGTTACATTGCTTGCTTTATTTTTTATTTTTTAATTTTATTTTCTTTTGCTTTTTGGGTCACACCCGGCGATGTACAGGGGGTTCCTCCTGGCTCTGCAGTCAGGAATTACCCCTGGCGGTGCTCGGGGGACCCTGTGGGATGCTGGGAATCGAACCCAGGCTGGCCGTGTGCAAGGCAAATGCCCTCCCCACTGTGCTATCACTCCGGCCCCATTTTTTTTTTTGTTTTTGGGTCTCACCCAGGGATGCTCAGGGGTTCTTCCTGGCTCTGCACTCAGGAATCATTCCTGGTGATGCGCAGGGGACCCTATGGGATGCTGGGAATCGTACCCGGGTCGGCCACATGCAAGGAAAACACCTCCTCACTGAG